TTTTTTTTTTTTTTTTGTAGAGATGCGATCTCGTCTAGGCTGGTCTTGAACTCCTGACCTTAAGCAATCCTCCCACCTCAGGTACTGGGATTATAGGCATAAACCACTATGCCCGGCCAAGTATTTTAGTTTCAAAGATCCAGATCTCCTTCTGACTGCAAAATATGTAAGTGCACAATATTTTATCCCAAATAAGTAATAAAAATTAAAATAGTTTATCCACATTAAAAGCTGAGAAACTCAAACAATATTTATCTTCCCCTGAGTTCATTGATTAAGGCAAACTCCCCCGATTCACCTTAAACTGGGAAAAAGAATCAGAATGAATGTATCAGTTAGGCAGTTTTCAGTTTCAACAACAGCGCAAACTGAGTTACAATAAATGGAATATATTGACTCGCATCTACAGAAAAACCCAGAGCTAGGGCAGGCTTCCTATTAGCTCAGGAAGATCACACCCCCCAAGATCCAGTTTACTTCCTTCTCTCGTCTCTGCCTCTGTGATTCTGCTTTATCCCAAGACTTGCTCATCTCAGGGTCACAAGATGGCTGCCCATGACTCCTGGGCTACATGCTTCCCCATTCATATCTGTTGACAAAGGATGTCACTCAAAGAAACAGAAAATGTTTCTTTCAGAAGTCCCCAGCAATTTTCCTTGAAGACTGGCCTAAACCAATCTCTGTTGGGGGTGGGGGTGAAGAAATAGGCTGACTGGCTTACCCTACGTCATATACCTTGCCCCTAGAGTTGATTCTCAATGGCCAATTAAGACCCAAGGCCTGTAGGAAAGGGAAGGAGAAATGATGCCGGAAGGGGAACCCACTAGTGGTATAGAGAAAAAGGGAAGTAAGAGAGGAATCGAGAAAAAAAAAAAAAAAAAGAACAGCAACCACTTTGCAGGCACAGATTCTTGGGATTTAGCATAATTCTCTAGCCAACCCAAAGTGTCTGTGGGTGGAAAGTTGAAAATCATGTCCTGACAAGGTTCACTGAGTCATCCCTGCCCTCCCAAGCTCCTTCCTCCTCCCTATTTATAGGACACTCTTCTAAGCCTCTCTGAGAGCTAAAATTCTATTTAATTTTTATGTTTATCTGAGGCTTTAGCCACCAGCTAGTATCTCTTCACACAATGAGGGGTGGATCCTGCCTGGAAAACCTTCTTTGGAAGGTCATCATTGTACTTAATTTTCAACATTGAGGGGACTGTATTCAGTCTCAGCCTTATAGCATTCATTCACTGGCTCATTTTACAAGTGTTTATTGAGGGCATACCATGTGCCAGAGATTATTCTATGCCCTGGATCAACAGAATTAAATAAAACTCTCAAAGTCTCTGTCATAGTGAGCTTTCATAGTAGTGGAGGAGATAGAAATAAAAAACATAGCCAGGCTCGGTGGCTCAGCCTGTAATCCTGTGCCTTGGGAGGCTGAGGTGAGTGGATTGCCTGAGCCCGCGGGTTCAAGACCTGCCTGGGCAACTTGGCGAGACCTCATCTCTACAATAAATAAAAAATTAGCCGGGCGTGGTAGCGCGCGCCTGTAGTTCCAGCTACTTGGAAGGCTGAGGCAGGAGGATCGCTGGCGCCCAGCATGTTGAGGCTGCGGTGGCCGGGAGCGGCCACTGCACTCCAGTCTGGGCGACAGAGTGAGACTCCAACTCAAAAAAAAAAGAAAAAGAAAAAAAACAAAAACAAAAACAAAAACATACATTTACACTACAAAGTTAGGAAATGATCAACGCTACAGAGAAAAATAAAATAGGATCAGGAGCAAAGAATATGTGTGGGGGGTTTTTTGTTGAGAGTGATGTAGGAAGGGAAGGCCTCTCTGAGGTGGAACCCACACAGTACCTCACAGTGACACTGAGGAGCCTCTGAATAATTCGTTAATAGACTGGGTCGATCCAGAGTTGGGCCTCCCTCAGCCCGTTTCCCAGAAGCAGGTCTGTTTAGTTCAATCCAGACTGAGTACAAATGCATTGGTCTCCAAAGGAGGGATTAAGGAAGAGGTGGAGAGGTGGTCCTTAGGGTTTATCTGCCTGTTGGCAAACAAGCATTTTCCCCAAACCGGCTCAGGCAGACTCTCTTCCCCTCACTCATGGCTGGTTAGCAAAGCCTTTGCCGATCTAGGGAGCAAAAGCACCCATTTGACCCACGCGTCCTTTGACCTACATGTTTGGGTGGGGATTAGGAGTAGAATGAGTTGTCACTGAAAATATGAGCTTTGTGTATTTAGAAGATAAGTATTTTTTTTATTGCTAATTAGTGTTGGGCTCACACACCTATGTCATGTTGATATGTCAGATTCATTTGTCGTTTCAAACCCAACTGCCTTAATTAATCCTCCGTCCACTCTCTGTTACAGTCTGGCTGTAACTCAGACTGCTAGGCTCTCTGGAAATGGGATTTCTACTTAAGAAATCTTGAATTTTAACTTTTTATGTTTTTGAACTGTAATCTCACTCTGTCACCCAGGCTGGAGTACAGTGACGTACTTATGGCCACCGCAGCCTCGACCTGCTGGGCTCAGGGGAACCTTCTGCCTCAGTTTTCCAAGTAGCTGGAGCCACAAGCGTGCACCACTACGCCCAGCGAATTTTTTGATTTATTGTAGAGACGAGGTCTCACCATGTTGCCCAGGTTGGTCTTGAACCCCCGGGCTCAGGCAATCCTCTTGCCTCGGCCTCCCAAAGTACTGGCATTACAGGCGCAAGCTGAGTTGGGTCTCACTCTGTCACCCAGGCTGGAGTGCAATGGCACAATCACAGCTCATCCCAGCCTCAAACTCCCGGGCTCAAGCTATCCTCCTTCCTCTGTCTGGAACTATAGGCATGAGCCACCATGCCCGACTAATTTTTTATTTTTTGTAGAGACAAGGTCTTGCCCTGGTCTCCAACTCCTGGGCGCAAGCAATCCTCCCACCTCAGCCTCCTGAAGTGCTGGAATTACAGGCATGAGCCATCATGTGTGGCTTTGAATTTTAAAACTAAATCTACAGTTTGAAGCCTGTTCGAGAATATCTCACTTGGTGAATCCAAGAACTAACCTCTCCAAAGTGAACTCATGAAATGGGGAAGTGGGTGAACACTGTCCTTCTCACATTTTCCAAGAATTGGCCTTGGTATCATTGTTTTCCCTGAAGTCATTTTATCTGAGTTCATCCTCTCCCCTCAGGAAGTAGACAACTCTTCCTCTTTGGTGTCCAGGTAAGACCTTTATACAGGTATCAGTGTCTCTGACTTAATTTTAACTTTATTGCAACAGTTTGTCCGCCTATCTACCCTCATATTGACTCTCTCTCACCAGCCAGTGAGACGTTGGGACACAGATCCCCAACCCCATTGCTATGCATGTCCTCAGCACTCAGCATCTTGCCTGGTACATACTTGGTGCTCTTTGAGAAATGATGTGAAAGACTAATTTTAAAAAAATGAAATACTTAATAATTTTTAATTAGATCTTATCTGACTCACATAATTATGTTACAGTGAGGTGAATTCCATGTCAATATTTAAGAAAAATCTAGGTTGGGCGCAGTAGCTCAAACCTGTAATCCCAGCACTTTGCAAGGTTGAGGCGAGAAGATGGCCTGAAACTAAGGGCTCAAGACCAGCCTGGGCAACTTGATGAGACCTCGTCTTTACAATAAATGAAAAAATTAGCTGGGTGTCGTGGCTCGTGCCTACAGTTCCAGCTACTTGGAAGGCTGAAGTGGAAGGATTGCCTGAGCCCAACAGGTTGAGGCTACAGTGGTCGTGAGCATGCCACTGTACTCCAGCCTGGGTGACAGAGTGAGACTCCACCTAAAAAAAAAAAAATCAAAACCAGAAAAATCTAATTGATGATAAATCTAGAAAATTCTGGTAAATCTGGTAGATTCTGGTAAATTCTGATAAATGTAGAAAATTCTGTCATTGATTTTTTCCTGAAGAGTGAGAAAAGACGGTCATTGTTCAATTTTATTTTATTTTTTTTTTTATTTTTTTTTTTTTTGAGTTGG